TCCTGAGGCTTGGACAAAAATCAGTTCCCATCCCCCATCTGCATTTGTGTCTTTTCTCCATGGCATGGTTTCAATGACAGAATACTTAATGTGGCATACTGTAAGCCAACACACTGTACTGGCAGATGTGATGGCCTCCATATTTAGCAGTGAAGCAAGTAAATTCAAAGTACCAATGTAAAGTTGACATAGATTAGGACAAGTATCACACATTTACATATGTAATGCTGTCTCCCTATCTTTAGAGACCCAAGTATCGTGAACACTGTATATGTAAATAAAAAACCTTAGCAACAAACAAACAATAATGACTGGCCCTTAAAAAGTTCTTTAGACTTATTCTTACTTAAAATCTGCCAGTATTTCTCTTTACAAAGCCCATATTTGAAGCAGTGAACACATTTAATTTCACAAATAATTTTACAATTTGCTACATGTACATGTACATACATACTTACATGTATAACCTTTGTATTTCACAATATACACATTCGTTATGAGGTATGGAAACTTCCATAATAAGTGCCATTTACAAGTGCCAACAAGTTATCATTGTATGGAGGGAAGCCTTGAAAGAATTCTTTAATCAATTTGTGATACAAATAATTTCCATTCTTTGATGGCCTCTGCAGTCCAGTAGCATGCCAACCTTTTTCTAGCAGAAATGCACATACATGTACAGTACATGGATTAGTTTTGATTTTGTCATTTGGCAAAATTCTTGAGACAACAAGTACAATGTACGTCCATTCTTGGGATGTTTAGCTGGCTCCCTCCAGGTCCGCCGGTGTCTTCTGATACGTCCATTCACATCTTGAAGTGGGACAGCGGTATATCGGACTTGCCTTTCCTTTCATTTGAGCATCGTGTACAGACTGGCATCTTTGCTATTGATCATAAGCAATGTAACTGATTGAGTTGCTGTAAATTATAAATGTAATTGTAAAATTAAATGTAATATAAATTGCTTGTGGATTTAAAAACACACCTGCAATTTGCTGTGAGCAATAAAACATGCTGGACACACATCAGAATGCGGTGGTATTTGGACTTTAATAGAGCGCAAATTGTATGGCACAAGGAAAAAAACGCTGTAACAGAAAGCACATAAAAAGTCG